ATACTGTAAATTCTACCTTTTATAATAGCTATAGTGTCTATAGTTTATCTTCATGTGTATTCAGTTAGCTAAATCCACAAAGAGCAGTGAGTATTGGAGTAGCTGCACAGGTCAGGTGCCCAGACACAAATGGTAACTTTATTCTACTGAGGTAATAAATCATTTAAATAGGAGATGTCTGGCTAAGCTTAATTTGCATACAATTCTAGGCGCAGTGGGTAAAATTGCATTAAATCTGTTCCTCAGTTTTCATTTCATTTCTCTAATCTAGTTATGTGAACTGCTTTATATTTGGATTATGAGACAGCATGTCAGTGAGCTTACCTTCGGCAGTGTACTGGCACATATACGGCCGCTTGGCATTGCATTGGGATGGACCGGTCTGACCGCGTGCTTCAAGGAAAACGCACACATTGCCACGAGAGCTCGTCGAACGAGAATGAAATATCTCCTCTCCCTCCTGCATCTCTGATCCGTTTACCCAGTGCAAAACATTTTCCCTCTAAAAACCTTCGACGTTAACAAATAACCATAATGAAAATTGGCATACCAAGCAAACATGTCCATGTGTGCCCATAGTGGGTAGCTGTGGGTGAACTTGGACGTGTGCGGGCAGGGCAAACCCATACTTATCCCATGTGGGCCCCAAGTGGATGTGCCCACACAGGGCCCACAACAGTTTTGCCGCTTGGGGCTCCTATGTGGAACTAGGGGCCCACTGCACTTTCTCCTTTTGGGCCTCCAAGAGGGAAGCCAAGAGGGTAGCCCACTGCGTGCTGCCCATAGAACAGCTAGGTGGGCCCCTGGGGTTACTATGGGCAACCAAAGACCAAGTAAATTATTTGACAAAATTTGAGGGAGCATTTTTTTGAGTTGGTAGCTCCACACTTTCGTGGTTTACACATTTGCATACCAAGTAAACGTGTAAACCAGCCTTGAAGGAGATACATATCTCTTTTGTGGTTGTGTCAGGAAAACAACACAATGAATATCTTGCAAATCAAATGTGTGGCACTGCTCTGGTAACCAGTGTTGGGACGTGTTATAGGAAAAAAAATACCAATTCTAACACT